GAACTCCACCGCTGCTGGGGCTGGGCAGGCGGAGGGACCGGGACGCCACGACGACGAGGAGGAGGAGGGCGAGAGAGAGAGGGAGAGAGAGAGCCGGGTCTCCCCATGACGATCGGTGCGCCGCCACCGCCGGCGGTCCCTGGCCAGGGTCAGCCCGTGGAGCTCCGCCCGTGAGGAGGATGAAGGGAGCGGGCGGCGGCCACGGAGCGGCTGGGGGCGCTCCCCGCGGGCGGTGATCCGCGCGGAATCCACGCGCAGAAACTCGCCCACCCTTCCTTGCCTCGCAGAAGGCTGGCTCGCTCGGCCAAGAGAGATCGCTCGGTCGGTCTCCCACGGCTCCTCTCCGCCCCACCAACCCCCGTCCTCGCCTTCGCTCGCTCTGCTCGCTCTCCTTTCTAACCCGGCTCATTATCCGACTGGATCGCATCAGGAGATCCCCTTTTTTATATATCTAGAACTACGGAACCACACCTGTTCTGCTCCAGCGCCGGAATAAAGTCCCAGCCTGGGCTTCTAAGACCAGCATTAGGTAATATATGCATTTGTCATCACCATCACCATTATACTCATCATCATCCAGGGGAAATCCTTTATTACACGGGAATATTTTTTTTTCACTCTCCTTTTCTTCGGAAAGAAGGACGCTTGCCATTTCTTTTTCAAGCGTCCGAAAGGTCTGCCGAGAAGGACAGACAGACGGACACATGGCCCCAGATTGCGGTGATGGGCTAGCCGGGGATGAGCATGTGCCCGTGAAAGTCTGAATGTGTTTGGTGAAGGCGGGTTTACGCGTGAATCCAAGCCACCTGCGGGCGGGTTCCCGTGCCCGTCGGAAAACTTACAAGAGAGACTCTAGCGAATGTTGGGTTCATGGAACAAAAAGTGGGGGAAATGCATGGATGCCTTTTTGCAAAACAAAGCAAAACCACCCTTGAGGTCACCCAAAAAAATCATGAGGGTGTCAGCATTCCTGTGTGGATGCTGGCTTTAAACAAATGGAAAATGCAATTCCCATGTAAAATTGAGAGTCGAATTTTTATACATGATTTGAGACATTTCATTTCTACAGTACTTTATAGAAGGCAGCCTTGGAGAAGTGGGGGAGGGCCATTTGGAATTGTGGGGAGGGAGGTGTTTTTCAATGTAAAGGCTTGCAGCCCCCTTCTATTAGCATTTCTGGGCACCGATCAGAACCAACCGCTTACCGACCCCCAGCTGCTTTTGTGGAGCCTGGGCTCACCAGTTACCGAACTCCCAGGCAAAGTGTGGTTAAACCATAAGGCTACTACATCTAATCAGCCTATAAAAGCTGCCTTTCCTTTGCATGGTCTTTCCTCACTTTTTCACGGGGACACGTGTTTGGTAGGATCTGCAAGGAGAAAAAACAGAGAGAGAGAGAAAGAGAAATCTGGGTTGTAAAATCGGCCTTCTTCAACCTGGCATCTTTCAGATGGGTTGGACAACAACTTCCATCACCCCTTCCAACAGGGCTGGGAGCGATGGATGCTGTAGTCCGACACAATTGGGGAAAGCCATATTATGGACAGATGGTGCAAATGTACAGGCTGTCACCCCTGTGCGGAGTGTCTTGGACTCCTAAAGAAGGAATTCAGCAGCCTGGGTTGTCTTTTCTTTCATTTGCACGATCCTGTGGCAGATCCATCCATGTTGACTCCCTTCTCTGCTGCAGTGCCTGGAGAGCCTGGGCAAAGGGCTTTCCCCTTCTGCCATGTGCTGAGCTCAGCCTCTGCTGCCTTTTGTCTTCTACATTCTTCCAGAACTGCACAAAACCTCTGCAATTGTGACTGAATGCCCAAAGCTGCCCCAGGGTCAAGCATGGTGTGGCGGGCTGAACAACGGGTGGCTCAACACAACCCGGGCTCAGAGAATTGCACAGATGAGTCCTGGTGAGGGGGAAACAGGTGGATAAACCTGTGCTGCCAGCCGCTGAGAAGAGATTACAGTGAGCTAAGTGGAAAGGTGGGAGACTTCCTTGCCAGCTTCCTTGATGCCTGCCGTTGCCTTTGCCCTGGCTTTCGCTTTGAACCTACTTTTTGATCGAGGCAGGAGAATCTCAGCAGTGAACGGAGAAAAACTGGGGAGGGGCTCTCACAACGATAGAAGGTGGGCAACGCATTTTGTTTGTGATGTTGTTGTCATGTGGAAAGCAGGCTAGGCAATAACTGTCCAGGTAGGTCATTGCCTGTTGGTGAAATTGTAAAAGTTTCACTATCCAGGCTACAGCTAAACCTCATTTGTATTGTTGAAGGGGGCATGCTGGTGGGAGGCTCTTCTTTGGTATGTATCATGTCAGTCTGACTTCACCCAACAAGTGCTCCCCCTGGCCGTGAATGGATTACAATTCCCATGAATCCCAGCCAGCAGAATTGTTGGCTGGGGGTGATGGGAAGTAGAGTCTGAAAAAATCCGTAGGAAATGTGGTCATATAATGTTATTCGGCATATATCATCTTGCCTTGCAAGCTGTCTCTCATGGCTGCAACATCACCCATTCTGGCAAATATTCTAGGGAGACCCAGTTTGCTGTATTGCATTGACTTGTGCGCCTCCCTAATGATAAAGAGCATAGTCTCTTCTTTTAAGGGGGAGTAACTCTGATGTCTCTAATTAGTGGCCTACTTTGGATACAGAAATAAAAGTAGAAGAAGGATGGTTGTGTTGCCTTCATGTATAAGTAACATAACATGATTATCAGCTATTAAGATCTATATATTACTGCTGACATTTAAATAGGCTTCCCAAGGGTGAATTTTTTCCATAGACTGGAATGTGTCGTCGGCTGAAATGTGACTGGATGATTCTGAAAGTTGTAGTAAAAAAAAAAAAGCAACTTTCCCCAGCTTTGACTAAAACTCATCTCAAGTTGGTTCATTGTCTACTACTTGGCAATCACAACAGTACATAGATGAAAACCCCGGGCCTCTCCATCATCATCCACTCTTGTCCCTGCTGACCGGGCTGATGGGTATCAGAATCCAATATCATCTGGAGGGCCTGACTCTCCACCCTCTGTTGCAGTGGATGACTTACCCCAGGGAGGATGGGAAATATGTCACTAAAATAGTTATCCATGCATTTAATCTAGTATCTAAGCCAGCTCCTGAATTGTTTTCTGTACAGCCGCTTGGATCTGCTCTGCAGATGTGCTCATTATCACTGGCAATAGCAGTGTTTGCTTCTAACTTGCCCTGAGCAAACTGCACATTAAAATGGATTAACTCTTTTAGAGGCCAAGTGGGGGTGAGGGATCCCTGGGGAAGGAAAAAGTGGGCTGCAGACGTAAAAAAAAAAAAAGTAAATATGGCTTTCCAAAGTTGCTTCTTGAAAGCAGCATGCGGCTTTACCTCCCTTTCTGGTGTCCCTCATAAAATCTTCCAGTCACTAACCTTAACCGTTTATTACGGTCTCTCTTAAATCAAGTAAAACAAGCTGCCTGTTTAGTGGCAGATGGCAAATCAAAGAACTAACTTAGAGGAAGAAGTTTCAAATCCAGCAGCAACAAGTAAGATGGGATGATAGTTTGGGACAAGTGGCTGTTAGGATCTTCAACATCCCCATCCAGTAAGAAGCAAAGTGTCTAGGAATGCAAGTCGCACACATTCTTAACCTAACAAGAATGAAAAATTGATCTGTGACATGGATGTAAAAGTAATGCATTGTGCTAAGAATATAATTCAGAATGCATTGGTCAGACAGTGGTTACTGTGAGCATTAGGTTCCATACTGCACACTTAGCTTTTTTTCAGATGCAGAGGTTTTAGAATCCAGGTAGTCTTGAGATTAAGTTCAAGTCACTCAAGTATTTTTTTTCCCTTTCTCTTTGATCAAGCTGTTTCTTTCTGTCTGACAGCTATGCAGGTTGCTCCTGGAGTCTAGATCTGATTGCTATAATCAGATTATTCTTTTTTTAAAAAAGAACCTTGCCCAATCTCTTCTGCAGAAGCCATTATTCCAAAATTTAACTTTCAACAGAAAGTCTTCTGTTGGTTGTAAGTCAGAGCTTGGATAAACTCTCATCATCATTATCATCTTAATAACAATTGTGTGCTGTCAAGTCATTTCCAACATAGATCATTTTCAGAGTCTTCTAAGTATAAAGTATTTGGAAGAGGTATACCCATTTTGCTGCATCTTTGAAAATAATCTTCAAACCTGTGTGGCCACATTGGCTGTGTGAGGCTGGGAGGTGTAGTCCAAATAAATAACTTTTCCAAGCTTTGTTCTGAATCATGTGGTTTTATGACACTGCTTCCCTTGAAATCTGTAGCTGCATGTTTTCTGTGCATAGCATATTTCTTGCTTCCTGGATTGTGAGTGGTTTTCAGATGTGCTTAACTATAACTTAACGTGGTATGTAAGAAGACGTTAGCCCTTGGTGATGATAAAGAAACTTTGTTCTGTAGCAGGTATGTCAGGTAGCGCGGATGCTTTGTAACTAACTGCCTTTTCCAGCCTTCAGCATCTAAGCTAGCAAAGTGTATTAAGGATAATGTATTTTTCTGTTTCTTTTCCTTTCTTCCAGGATTTGCAGGGTTTGCTTTTTTAAAAAAACTCAATATACTTTCTAGGTTTCCTAGGTTTTGCCAAGGGAATTCATAAACTCTGCCCTAGACATACTTGATTAACCAAGATGGGGACATTTGCTTCTTTAGGCTTCTGCTCCTGGAGCATCACAGCTAGCAAGGGGGAGATGTAGCCATGTTCATCAGTAATCTGTGGCAGCAGAAACAGTAAAGAATCTTGCATTACCTTAAAGACGTTTAGTTTGCCAGAAGGTTTTATGACCCGAAAGCCATTTCTTCAGATGCACCCAAAGAAGCAGACCTCAGTACACAAAGCCTTACGTCAGTTTTTAGGATGACCCAAGGGCTCTCTGTTGTCTTTGTTTCTGTAGTCTGAAAAAGGAATTTCCCCCATCTCTGTTTGCCTGTTGCCTAGCATAACCGGCCACACTAGAATAGACACCTGCAATCCATGGGGATTTAGTGAATCTGCTCCTCTGTAAGGTCCATTGATTCAAATGGGCCTGCTTTGTTGTTGTTGTTTAGTCATGTTTGACTCTTCGTGACCCCATGGACCAGAGCATGCCAGGCCCTCCTGTCTTCTACTGCCTCCCAGAGTTTGGTCAAATTCACGTTGGTAGCTTCAATGACACTGTCCAACCATCTCATCCTTTGGCGTCCCCTTCTCATCTTGCCTTCACACTTTCCCAACATCAGGGTCTTTTCCAGGGAGTCTTCTCATGAGGTGGCCAAAGTATTGGAGCCTCAGCTTCAGGATCTGTCCTTCCAGTGAGCACTCAGGGTTGATTTCCTTCAGAATTGATAGGTTTGAACTTTTGACAGGAGACTGTCAAGAGTCTCCTCCGGCAGCACAATTCAAAAGCATCATTTCTTCGGTGCTTAGCCTTCTTTATGGTCCAGCTCCGATACATCACTGTCTAGGTTTTTCATCGCTTTCCTCCCGATACACCACTGTCTAGGATTTTCATCGCTTTCCTCCTAAGAAG